CGCAATGAGCTGGACCCCTTCTCTGTCCACTTCTACATCTTCTTTGGGCCCAACGTGTCAGTGCCACCCGACCGCCCTGCTGTCTTCGTCATCAACCTTCTACCAGTGCTGGACAGTGGTGGGGTCCTCAACCTGGAGCTGAGGCTCAATGTGGTGAGGTGGCCATGCTGTGCCCTGGACAGGGCATGACAGCCTGGGGAGGATGGGCTGGGAGGTGGGTGATGTCAAGGCTGCAGCAGGGTGAGGAATGAGATGTGGGGGGGTCTTGGATCATGGGCCATGGTTTGGGATCTCTTGGGTGATGGAACACAGATTAGAGTGCTCCAAAAGCCGGAAGAGGGTCTGGATTTGGGGTGTTCTTGGGTGATGGGCAGTGCATTAGGGCACTGCTAGGTGGTGTGCCATGACCTGGGTGCTGTCACGGCAGGGGACATCCCCAGCACTAGGTTAGGGACATCTCTTCCTCTGCTGACAGAGCTCCCTGTGTGGTGAGAATGTGACAGTGTTTGGATGTCTGAACCATGAAGTCCCACTGACGTCTGCTGACAATGCATCGGTCACCTGCGAGACAGGTAGGTTGGTCTATGTAACTCCATCCTGCCATGATTGGTGGGGTCACATACCCCTCCCCACCTCCACGGGTGTGGCGACAGGCTGGGTGGGAGACAGCAGAGACCATTGTGGCATCTGGCACAGGGTGCTTTGTCCCCATCCTACCTCTGCCCAAGGGAAGGGGCTGCCTCCTGCCCTGCTCATCTGGAGTGCTCCTGGCCCACAGAGACCCTGGCAGGCTTCCTGCTCTCCGTCAACACCACGGCCAGCCTCAGCCGCCTGCGGATCCCCTACCCCCAGACGGGCAGCTGGTACCTGAGCCTGCGCTCACTCTGTGCCACAGAGCATGGGTAAGAGCCCTGCATGTCCCCCTCCCTGTGCTCCCAGAGGGGATGTCCCAGCCATGATCTGCATCCACATGTGCCATGGGTCTATGGGTGTGTTTAGCCCCTACGTGTCACCACTCACGTGGGTGCACGTGGCTTTGCAGGCTCTGTGTCACCATGCAAGTGCCTGCGTGGGCACAAGAGGCTCTATCCTGCGCCTGCCTGACCATCTGTGGGTCCCTGTGGCTCTTCCTTCTGTCTCACAGTTTAGGAAGCACCTGTCAGCTCACAAATGCCATGCATCTCTCAGTGCCTGCCCATCTCTGCGTTTCCATCTGGAGCTGCAAAGGTGCTGGATGTGACCAGAGCCTTGTGTGTGGGTGGCATTGGACAATGGTGTGCTGTGCCTGCTCTGACCCACTCTGCTGCAATTCTAGTTCACGCGAACTTGCTGCTTGCAAGTTGGTCCTTCCCTGGCACGTTCACACACAGGCATTGCAGGGCATGGTGTTTTCACAGCAAAATTCAAATAAAATAGCAGCCATCGGAGTGCATGATTAAATCAAAGTGGGTCTAAGTGTGGCCACACTCCTCCTGCTGACCCAGTCTGGCACAGATAGTTGTGGCAGGCAAGATCTTCGGCACCCAGCTCTCAGCTATCATACGAAGCACCAAAGCTGCTCATTTCTCTGTTTGCCCAGTCCCTGGGTTTCTCATCACCTACCAAGTGTGACGAGTGTCTCTGATGGAGGCAGGAGCTGCTCAAGGGATGTAGGACAAGAGCTGACCCCTTTCTCCTGTGCTGCAGGTTTGAGCCCTGCATCAATGTGACGGCTGAAGTGTATCTGCGTGCCTACCTCTCGCCTTGCATCAATGACTGCGGCATCTATGGCCAGTGCAAGCTGCTGCGCACCAACAACTACCTGTATGCCGCCTGCGAGTGCAAAGCTGGTGAGAACTGCCCCACTGCACCCACTGCACCCAGGGACATCCCCCAGCATCCTTCTATCCTTCCTCAGGATTGTGTACCCCATTAGTCCATCCACAACAGCTCTCCACAGGGTGCTGGAAAGGGGCTTCCCCACTCCCTCCCCAGCCCCTGAGAGTGCTTTAGGGGTGACAGCATCTCTCCCCGGCCACAGGCTGGAACGGCTGGGGCTGCACTGATAACGCCGAGGCTTTCTCCTACGGCTTCCAGCTCCTCTCCACGCTACTGCTGTGCCTCAGCAATGTCATGTTTGTGCCTCCCGTGGCCATCGCAGTTCGCAGTCACTACCTCCTGGAAGCTGCCGTCTACATCTTCACCATGTTCTTCTCCACTGTGAGCATGGGGTGCGGGTGGCTGGGAGGACAGCTGAGGAGCTGGAGCTGTGTGGGGCAGTTCTCACACGTTTTCTCCTCTTGCCCCAGTTTTACCATGCCTGCGACCAGCCGGGCATTGTGGTGTTCTGCATCATGGAGTACGATGTGTTGCAGTTCTGTGACTTTCTGGGCTCTCTCATGTCCGTCTGGGTGACCGTCATCGCCATGGCCCGACTTCAGCCTGTGGTCAAACAGGCAAGTGCGGGGGATTGCGGGGTGGGCATGGAGGGAACAGATCCTGACTAGTGCCTCGCTGCCCCCCAGGTGCTGTACCTGCTGGGGGCAATGCTACTCTCCATGGCTCTGCAAATGGACCGGCATGGGCTCTGGAACCTGCTGGGTCCCAGCCTCTTCGCCTTAGGGATCATGGCCATTGCCTGGGTAAGGAGATGCTGTCCCTGTCCTCTTACACTGAACTGTGCTCAGCAACCTACCCAGTCTAGCCCCACTCACC